TAATTATCGTCTTCCTTTTCGTTCAGTGCAACAATTTTCCGATGCGTAGCGGTAAATTTTGCCCATTCTCCCTCTAAATTTTCTATCCTACCCGAAATATGAGAAGCGCGTTGCAAACGATCTTTAGGTGTCTTTTTAAAATTATCGTATGCACGTCCAATAATTTTCATGGACGTGCTTTGCTCCACGACTAAAATATCCATGTTGGATAGAAAGGAAAACGCTGACTCAAACGAATCTGAACCGGACGACGTAATTATTACTTTCTTAGTCCAAGCACTCCAGTAAAAGTTAATAAAAATAAACTTATAGAAAAGGCGCTTTTACATCGACGTCGACTTCGTGTAAGTTTCTATGTAAATTCTTAGAATAAGTGTGAACAACGGTATACACTACTTAACGACGTTAAAATATTTCAATATGCAAAAATTATAAAAAATTCGACGACGGCCACTAAGACATTTGGATTCTACTCTAACGCAAAGGGGTATGTACTCACGCTGATTTTGTCTTTGCTCAAACTAAACTAACTACCGTCAACCACCTATTTATGCCGTCAGTTGTTCCTTAGCCAGCCCGGTTCTTCTGTAGCTGTATAATTTTCCGTCTTGCCGTCTTGCGGAGCGCAAAAACTCGTAGCAACGGCGCGGCTATCAAACTCGTAGTATCGGCGCAGCCAAGCGCCAGCAGTGGTGCGGCAAAGCTCGGCCGCAGCGGCGCGGCACCGGCAGCAATGGCACGGTAAAACCCCCGACAGCAGCGGCACGACACCGGCAGCAGCCGCGCGACACCGGGGGCAACAGCGCGGCTAACCGGCAGCAGCGGCGCAGCTGAGCGACCCCAAAAATTCACGTCAGCCGCGCGGCCTTTGAGTTCGGCGGCGGCAGCGCAAATGCACTGGGCGGTGGCGTTAGCGCTTATCACGGCGCGCGTCTACGGCCTAGGTTTTGTCCGCTCTGCGATGCGGATGGGCCTTATGCAGCTTCAGGCCAGCTGGAACTTACTCACTCGCCTCGAATAGCGCTCTTCATGCGCGCTGGTTATAACCGACGACCTACAGGACCATGAAAAAGTCCTTACTTAGGTTAACACTTACTTCTACTACTAATCAAACACCATATATATATATTATATTGAATATTGAACTGAGAATAATCAAATTTATTTACTTAGCCCTCCTTATACCTTTGTGGAAAACACAACGATATCGAGTTCTATTTACTAACAGCGACCTCTGTTGGGCGCCATAGACATGCCGCCCCCCAAGGACGTTATTTACGTTCTTAATTAACAAAGTTAAAATAAACTTAAACAACTTTTCTGCTAAAAAATACAAATAATACCTCTCATAATAACGACAGATACTAAACTTTACTCATAAGTAGAACAATAACACATTTAAATACAAAACAACTCATTCTGTAACAGGCAGAATACACAATTTTGAAATCGGTCTCTTTATCAAAGACCCATTACATTTTAGAGTCACCACTCGAGTTAATTTGTCTGCGCCAGGATATTTCTCAACAATAATAGCCATCAACCAACGTGCTGGGGGCAAATTATCTTCTTTGACTAAAACCACCTCGCCAATACTTGGTTCAACAACCTGTTTAGCCCATTTATATCGATGCATACAAGCTTTTAAATAATCATCAGACCAACGTTCCCAGAAGTCTTGCACCATTCTTTGCGTTAATTGCCACCGCCTAAGAGTAGATATAGTGGACTGCATGTAATCTTTTTCCGGGACAACAACTAGTGGCTCACCTACTAAAAAGTGACCTGGTGTCAATGGTGCCGGTTCACTGGGACTATCAGGTAATACAGACAATGGTCTGGAATTGAGGCATGCCTCCACTTGTATGCACACAGTCGATATCTCTTCGTACGTAAGAGTAGAGTTACCTATGACTCTTTTCAAATGAAATTTGGTTGATTTCACTCCGGCTTCCCACAATCCACCAAAATTAGGTGCATGAGGAGGAATGAAATGCCAAGTTACCCCCCTGTCGCTTAAACAATTGCGAATTTCTGAGGCTACAGATGAATTCTCTGATGCGACTAATCGTTGCATCTCCTTTGAAGCACCAACGATGTTTGTTCCGTTATCGCTCCACATGTCTGTGACTCGACCGCGTCTTCCTGTAAACCTTTTAAACGCATTTATAAATCCGGTAGAAGTTAGATCACTGACTATTTCTATATGTACGGCTTTCGTTACCATACAGACAAAAGGCAAATATACCCTTGTATGATTTGTTGCCACGCCCTTTGACACTAGCAGATTAATAGGGCCGGCCAGATCCACCCCAGAATGCAAGAAAGTCTTGGCCGGAGTAACCCGACTGGGCGGTAGTTGGCCCATTAATTGAGTCTTCGTAGCAGCTGCGTGACGCGTGCACGTGACACACTTATGAACATGCACCTTCACTAAACTTCTTGCCGAAATTATCCAATATGTAGAACGTAAATAATTAAGCATCAGTGTTGGACCACCGTGCAAGGTTTTCTTATGAGCTTCGTCTATTAACAAGTCTGTAAAATGACTCTTATGAGGAAGTATAATCGGATGTTTAGTACTTTCAGGGATGGTCGCGTTTTCAATACGACCACTAGCTCTTATGATGCCCTTTGTATCGACGAAAGGACATAAGGACTTGAGATGAGTTTTGTCTTTATCCAACTGTTTTTGGGCATGTCTTATGCAAACATCAAGAGCCTCGTTTATCTCTTCCCAAGACAATTGAGTTACAAACCTATTGCCCTCCTTAATCTTCAAAATCGTCTGATGTATGCTACTACATGTACTAATTTACGTAATGACGAGTATTTTGTCCAGAATGGATCATCGACCAATTCTTCATTTTTAGTCAAATGAACTTTGATTTTCCGTTGCTCTAACTCTGTCGATGATTCCGGTTTTGTGTACTTTATTTCTGCTTCACTTAACCAAGAAGGGCCCCGTTTCCATAAATCATTTTGCATCATTTCCGATGGCGTCATTCCTCGAGACGCGATGTCAGCTGGGTTGTCCATAGACTGTACATGCGCCCACTGAGTGTTATCCATTCGTGACAAAATGTCAGATGTTCTATTTCCTATAAAGGTAGTCCAACGGCTGGGATGGCTATTTAACCAAGCTAACACAACAGTGGAGTCTGTCCATCCGTGAAGTTGCGACTTTTCGATGGATAAAACTGTGGCAACTTCTGTTAGCAATCTTGCCATGAGAACTGCTCCCATAAGTTCCAGGCGTGGAACAGACACTTGCATTATCGGTGCCACTCTTGTCCTTGCTGTGACAAGATTAACTTTCACGTTTCCTCTGGAATCTATAACTCGCACATAAACCGCTGCAGCGTAGGCTTCATAAGATGCATCACAGAAACCATGCAATTCCACACTTTTGTCGTCAGCCTTGACTCCCGCCCACCTTCGAACGTGGTAATCTTTTAGTCGAACCAACTCTTCCTTATACGTAGTCCATTCTTTGAGTAGAGCTGACGGCAACCTTTCGTCCCAGTCTATTCCAGTGAGCCACAGTTTTTGAATGATTATTTTAGCTGTAATAACACAAGGAGCTACCCATCCTAACGGGTCGAACAAGCGAGATATATCTGAAATAACCTTTCTTTTTGTTAATTGCCAGTTTGTTTCGTTATCGCTCCACATGTCTGTGACTCGACCGCGTCTTCCTGTAAACCTTTTAAACGCATTTATAAATCCGGCTCAAAGGACCATGAAAAAGTCCTTACTTAGGTTAACACTACTACTAATCAAACACCATCAAACACCATAATATATATTATATTGAACTGAGAATAATCAAATTTATTTACTTAGCCCTCCTTATACCTTTGTGGAAAACACAACGATATCGAGTTCTATTTACTAACAGCGACCTCTGTTGGGCGCCATAGACACTGCGTGTTATTATTATTAGCAAGCCTACATATTTTATAATGACATTGAATAGGTGAAAAAGTCTTACACGTTTTTAAGAGTAGATATCACTAAGCTTCTTAAGAGCTTACTCTTGTGACTTGACATTCATCTCAGCAGACATACATGTCGTACGTAGTCACTCATTTTAGTTATATTTAGATTTTCATATTTAAAGCGAAGCAAAAGATAAAAGGAAAACAAGGACAATTTTTGGAGGCATTGGGGAAAGCTTTAGTTTAGCATTCTATTTCCACTCATAAATCCAGAACACGTGATAGCCAAATTTCCGCGTATTTTTTAAGAATAGTAAATAATACACTTTTTTAACAAAAGGTTAGGTACTTATAGCTTTGTGATGCCGGCTTAGAATGTCGTCACCCTTTATCTTCCCCGTGGGTGTCGTAACATACATAAATTGAACTAGGATTGAACCCCCTGGATGAATTTCGCAATCGCATTGCAACATCTTGCATTGCGCTGACCAACCCGCCTGCCAAGCGTGGTGCGTATGGCAAATACCCCCCTACTAGGGGAGGCCCACGTTCAGCAGTGTACTTTATTGTGGCTGTTATAGTAGTAGTAGTAGGTACTTATTGTGTCATTTTGGACTAAATATCAAAAATGTGTTCGTTGATTTTAATAGTTCTTTTTTTACTTAGGTCTTTACAAAAACAAAACCAATATAGGAACCGATCTGTTTTTAACCTAGTTTTAAATTATTGTTTCCTTTATTAAACGAAATACAGTATAAACCAATCTGGCAAATTCGGCACAACGTGAGCGCACACCGTGAAATTGACTTACCTTCAAACGAAATAAATGGGCTTCAAGCTTATCAATGCGTAGACAATGCAAATTGCTATATACGACAACATAGGTATTATCAGCAGCATATAAATCCTTTTGAGCGATCTATCTACTCTGTGTTTCTCACAAACTCATAAACTGTATGAGAAACCAGTTTAAAAAAATGTCATGCACCGACTGGGGCTCAAAATCGTCGCTTGAAGACGAGCATCAAGAGATTGAAAATTCTGCAGATACTGACTGGTGCATTGGTAGCGCGGTGACAGAGCGGTGGGGCGTTGACCCATGCGGCCTGGGTTCGACCCCCGGTCGATACATGATATATTTTCAATTTCATAATTTCATTTATAAGAATAATATAGCACGCCACATGCCAGTGACAGACACACCACAGTGACAAGACACACTTTACAAGTTTTCACTTATACTTTTTACTTTACTCCTTTTATTATACCGGTAAAACGTCGAAAAAACTGCGGCACGTATGAAAATCACCAAAAACCTACTATCACTTTTCTACAATAAATACTCAAAACAGTGTTTTAATTCGTCAACAAAAAGAAATTGCATTATTTCGTCTTAATTTTTATATCCCGTGTAATGTCCCTCTCCTACCCTACCCCATTTTTTTTTTCTGACCTACCTACGAATACGAACTCAGAATCCGAATAGATGAAAACCTACTTGGCATGGTTACTAGAAATGAGTTCACTGAGGTTTATGAATCGGCCAGTTGATCGTCAACCCTACGTTGTGCATAAGCAGTAACCCAAACTTCTTTGCTGATAAGGAATGGTGTGTCCTAACTAATCTAACCACTATTCTGAAGAATAATCCGCTTAACATAGCTTCATAAAAAAACTATACAACAATAAATAAATCAATAAACAGCACCGTTAGAATATAATGTAAGTAAAGGTAGTTAAAGTCAAGGCGCAACTAGCACAGAACGACATAAAATAAAAATAAGTAAAGCGCTGCCGAATTAATTCCACCTAGAAGTCACTATGTCGCTAGTACTTAAGTATTTTATTGGTAAGGCTTAAGGTTGGAGCCCCGCCCCGCTCCCTGGCTTATTTTATGAAATTGTTCACCAGTGTGCTTGAATTTTCAGATGTAGTTTTATTTATTTTAAGAGGTGGTAGGTTTTAAGTTTTCCTCTTTCTGAAAATATTCTACCCTCAAACACAAACCGTGGGTTTCGGCTTAGCCTGACTGGACACCCTCCGCCTTATATTATTCCCAAACTAGTGCCTGAATTTACATTTACAATCAGAGTTACAAAAGATATAATGCCTTAGTAATTTAACTTAATTTTATTTGCAAAATCAAAAGAGGTGTAATAAAATAGATACGTATATAAGTAACAAAAGGAGCGAAAGCTGGATTTTCCACGTCCAGATGTACTAGCTGTCCAATATAAGGCATTTTGTATTGCAAAACAAGGAAGCTACTTTTATGGCCAAGTGTTTGGAATAATTTTTCTTTTCTGAATTTACTTTTACTGAATCTACTTGGAACAAGGAATCTACGTCAGATAGTCAGTCTGTCTCCCTGATTCCCAAAAGAATTAAAATTCGTTCTTTCTTTTGAACCAAAGATATGTGCTAAATCGTCACATCCCTAGAAAGCTTTCCATTTTTGTAGGTGTCATTATATTTTTATTTCTAAGCAAGTTACTAGTAGTACTAGAAGGTTGACAACAAATAACTATTATCTTATTGTTGATTTAATTTATAAATTTATATGCAAACCGAGCTTTATCAAATTATTTCAAACGATAAACTTTACCATGAAACAATACCATTTCTATTATTTGTCTACCCCGCAAGAATTATGAGCATGAACAGTTAAATAACCAAAAGGATGGGTGACCGATAATGGATGAGTTACCTAAAATGGATGGGTGACCGCAAATCGATGGGTGACCGCAAATGGATGGGTGACCGCAAATGGATGGGTGACCGCAAATACCAATATTAACCTATATCTCCTCTTCTAAATATTTCCGCAGGTTAAAAATGGCATCAAAGGAAGGCTAAAATTGCCTGAAAAAAAAGCAACCTTTTCCAACCCTAAACTTGTATCGTTGGATACTAAAGTCTTCCCGTATCTCGTTTCCCATACATTTCCTCAGTCTAAGAATAGTATCAAACGAAATCTAAAATTGTCCCTTACAAAACTCAACCTTTATTGAACCTAAATTCGTACCGCCTGATACAAAAGTTACCCCGTAACTTTGCTTTTAAACGTTTCCTCACATTAAGAATGGTATTAAATGAATGCTCGAATAACCCCCTTCAGAGTGCAACCCTTAGTTCCCCCATATTCGGAGGTCAGTATACTAAAGTTACATCATAACTTTGTTTCTAAACATTTCCTCACACTGAAAATAGTATCAAATGAAAGCTAGAATTGTCCCCTGTAGAATGCAACCTAGAGGTACACAATATTCGTGGGTCAGTATACTAAAGTTACCTCATAACTTTATTTCTAGACGTTTCCGCACACTGAAAATAGTATCAAATGAAAGCTAGAATTGTCCCCTGTAGAAAGCAACCCCAATTTAATTTCCCAATATTCGTGGGTCAGTATACTAAAGTCATCCCGTAAAATAAGTTGTATGAACAAATTATGCTATTTCATCACTATCCACTACCTAATATGGGCATCACTACATCATTAATCGGTTTTACACACCTATAAACACCACACTCCACTGCTAGACATGAGCTTAAGTAAATAATCGACCTACCTACTACGAAGATTGGCGGTATTGTCTCACCAATCATCTACTTTACTTGTAACGCTAACCTATTATAGTATGTATAAATCTTATGTTCATAGAAACCGGATTGCGATTCCACTGCTGGATAGCTCGCCATTGTTCACAACAAGAAATACACCATACCGTACTCAACAATTTTCCTAGTCGGTTACTTCTTCATTTTTCAACAAATCAAAACAATATAGGATTTATAAATTTCCTTTTACACACATATCGATGTGACACCCCTGTTTTCAACAGTCGGTTAAAACGGTTACGATTTTTTTTCATTCACAACTTTGCCTATCGAACCCACTGTCAATAATGTCTTACTCGCTCGGTTATACTGTTTTTATCTACCTACTTTTCCCATTCACCTACAACATGCCATCTTCTCATACAAATTGTGTGAGCGAAAAATGCGCAGCGACGGATGTCAGGTGTGAGACCCGCCATAGGAATGATGACGCCACCGCGAAGCAAGAATAAGAGGGTAGGAACAAAACTGTTCGCGGCGATTCTCCGTCTTCCCGCTAGCCGCTATCACTCACGCACTATACATACTTGCAAAACTGTTAGAATCTATCAATGGCATGATTACGTTTATCACATACGTAAAAGACAAATGGGAAACAGGTAGAAAAAACACGAGGTAGCAACACAATGAAAAATATTCTAGAAACCGCAAAAAGGAACACACGCGAACTGCCAGCAAAGTACATCCTAGGCACAAAATAACACATAGAAAAATCAAAAACACCTTTAAATAGAATGGAATAAAAATTGTAAAATCAGAGAAAATAAAAGGCCTTACCAGGGTTTCTTCAAAGTTACTAAAGCCCTCCCATAAAGAAAACTACTACTCCCTAGACCTAATGGAATTACCACCCGGCTGCAACATGCCTATCCGAAGATCCGCAAAAACATGCGGCAAAGTGTGCCGAGCGTGGTGTCCGGGCAGGCGGCAGTCGCTCCCGGCCGCTGCGCCCGCTGTCCCGACGAAAAGTGGCGCGTCTCAGGCCGGCGGCCGCTCACGCCACGCCGCCCGCGCACCCCGCGGCGGGTATCCTACCGCGCCGGGCAGTCGGAGTCTGGTTGGTCGAAATAAGTAATCAACCAGTAGGAATTTCCCTCAGACATGTTACGCCGCTGTTACGACCAATCGCCGCCCTTCTCACGTTAGTGAAATACAGTTCGATTTGCTGGACTGTTTTTCACTTTTTCCATAGAAAAAGTACACGCGCTGACTACACCAGCACGACCCACAATCAATCGGTTCTCTCTTTCTTACTCCTTTCTTGTTACTCAGATATCATTCGTAATACAACGCACTGACAATACGGCTCATGTTGCCTCACGTCACGAATCATTCGGCTACTTTCTGTATAATATCGATAGATGGTGCTACTATGCACGAATTGGCTAGATCAACATTAATTTGGGAATATGAAAATATTATTTCTGGTCTACTATGAAACATAAAGGGTTTCAAAAGATGATTAAGTTTATTTTTTATAAGCTAAAGATCAATTATCTTTGGAGTTTCTGTTGCCACCAACAAAATGCATCGATTCTCATATTTGTGTTTAAACTGAGCGCAATTTATGATATGAAAGAATTACTTATGCAAATTATCGAATAGTTTTGAGACAATAATAAAAGTCGATTCGCAATAAAATGGCTTTCATCCAAAATGTGCTCATAAACAAAGCATATTGTTAGTAAATATATTAATATTAAGGAATTATATTTGTGCGTAAACGGCTGACCCGTTACACCCGACCCCCAAATTTCTGGAGTTGATTTAAAACTTCAACGAAGGAAATTTTCCTGACTCAATTATATTTTGAGTTTACACAAATATAATTCGTACTAAATATTTTATCGACACTCTGCCCAGAATGTAAACTAGTGTATGTAAAGTAATGCTTCAAAAGGTCAGCAACCACTAAAATGACAAAAACTTCAAGCTTTTAAATTATTAGCCATGAATAAAAAATCACCTTCACAAGGACAACATATTCTTTTATCTAGGGGAACTAGTTTGTGAAGCCAGCCGACCCGAGTGGTACTATACAAAGCCGTTTCAACCAATACTCTGAATCTTAGGATTTGAAATTGAACCAGCTTTGTACACCCGTGTCAGAACATGTTGACTTTAATAGCTCCAGTCATATTCATTCAATTGACTAAACCTCAACTCGAAATTTCGACCACTCTTAGCAACCACCAAAAATCTGAATAAGTTTTCAAATAAACCTGCTTATTCACAACCAAGAATCTCAAGTGTGTAATATGTCACCCGATTTTCCAAAGGATTTAAGTTAGTTCTTTATTTTTGAACTAAAAATTATGTGCTTAAATTGTCACATCCTAAGAAAGACTTCCAATTTTCCTTTTATTGGTAGAATCGCAAACTTGAAATAACTCATCGCCCGCATGGTACGACTTTTCGAGTTATTGAGGAATATTTTTATTCTATTCCAAAGTTTTAGACTCTATTAAGTCTTCCTAGATCGACAACATTTTCTTTAATTTTAGAAAATAATT